ACACCTTGATTGTCGGTTAGCCGTCTCCGATTACTGGCTGTTTTCTCTGCCTGCGGCGACACACATCGCTTCGCGACATGTTGCTACGTACCTGTCTATGGAGAGAACCAACTCATCTCCGCAGCCCTTGATCTTGTTCTGAGCGTCCATGTGAGTCATGTTCTCTGTGGATTCTCCATCGATGGCCAGGAAAATGTCTCCGATACACAGGTTGGCCTGAGCTGCCTTAGAGCCAGGGGTGACCTGAAAAAACATGAGATAATAAAAAGACAATTTTTAATGCCCCGGGTTCATTTGTTTTAAAACAAAAAAACAAAAAACAGTCCAAACAAACCATATTACTGACACAAGCCTGAAGTCTGACCTGAAAGAGGTCAGAAGCCTCAAACACATGTGGGGCCTTCGGATGGCATTTCAAGTTTGAGGTGCTTAGGTGAAACTAAAACATTTTGTTGTGAAATCTATCATTCTGTCTACTGGATTAGGGCTTCTTGTTGCAGTACAAAGTACTGCGACTAATGCCTCAAAATCGTTTCAAGGCCACATGCACAGCCAGAAGCTGATGTTGGTCAGTTTGATCGGCTGAGCGCTGCCTCTGTCACAGATAAACACAGACAGACAGACTCTGAAAAACGGCAGAGTGGCTGCTCCACTGCCACAACATTTACAACAGACACAGCAGTGTACCAATACATGCACACTAGGGAGTCATATTCACATTTATGACTGATGTCATAAATGAAAAGCTGAGTTCATATTTGATATGGGACAAATGCTGCGCTGTTACGGCGCAGAATTACCACTAAGCACTAAATCAACCTTTAAAAAGAAATGTCTTGATGTAGAACATATTGCTGTGCTGATTTGGGATTTGAATGTATTTATGACTCTGGAGATGAAGACTGGTGATGAAGTCCAGGCAGATTCATCTTGGAAAGCTGTAGATTCTTTGTCATTGGGTTAAATCACTGACATGTTCCTTTGATCCTAACTTTATGCTGTCTGGGTCTATATTATTAACTATGTCCAGTAACACAGCAGCTGCTCCCTCCTCTTACCCGTGTTGAAAGTTGAATCTGGGTCAGTTAACAGAAGATATCGATGATGATGATGATGTCATCATTTTGAGTGTTGATGCTTCTCCAGCCCATGCCAAATATTACAAAAATATTCTTAACCTGAACCGTGTAGCATAAAAGTATACTGTTTATATACGTATATTATTTGTTTCAAAACCAAACAGGTGTACATTACAGATTAATGCCATTAGTTTACAACTTTTTAATTAATTTAATTAAGGAGGAAAAAAACAGTTTTAACAGCTAAATTTGAGAAATTGTTAAAAGACATTTCTATTAAAAATAACTGTAATTACATATTCAAAAACACAGCTACTATTTGATCTCATTTTATCACTTTTTTTATAGCAAAGCTATAAACCTGCACTGAGACTGGTCAGACCTAAATGTACATGTTGGATAAAGGTTGTGTCATGAGACGTGAGAATCCGGTTAGATTTATGAATAAGAGCATTTTGTTTTTGATAATTTATGGTCATTGTAATGATACATTGAAACTGTCAGTTATATCAGCCTATAATCTTACCTTTATGGTAGCGCTAACAGTGAACTGTACTCAAATAATGGTAGCATAAAAATGAGGAGGTATTAAAGGTATGGTTTAAAGAATAGCAATATACTAAAGCCCAAAGACTGGAAAAAATAAATAAACACGGATGCAACCATAACAGCTTTTGTTTTTCATCTAAACATTTGTGACAAAAGAATTTCTGGAAAAAAACAAAACAAATGACACAGTTTAAACCATTAAACAAGCAACAAATAGCATGCCCACGAAATTGTGAGGCAGACCTCTTGGAATTTTACTTCAGAGTTGTAGTCAAAGAAGAAAAGTGAATGATGAGTGGGAGTGAGTCCAGTTTGACTCAGTTTTAGTAAGAAGTCACTTTAAGGAAGTTCAAGTCAAGTTGTTGACTTGACCTGAGTCTCAACCAAAGTCAGGTTTCAACACTGAGTCAAAGACCCTAAATAATACATGTGGGTTCTGAGTTACACATACAGACATTCATGTCTGAGTCTCCATCACCACCACCATCATCATCATCAGTGCCGTCTTTGTCACTGATGCTGGACTTGAGTACCACAACGCTACCTTTGTATTGAATAAACCTTACTTTACTTACTTTTTCCTTTATCTTGGTGACTCAATATAAAATGTCATGAACGTTTTTAGTTAAGCCAACATAATTTTAAACTTCACACAGTCTTCACCGATTAGTCAATTATGCTGCAATCACTACTCGAGTGCTAATTAATTATTACCGTTATAATCTAAAAATACATGTAATAATAATAAGTGTTTTTTATTCAACGTGTGTTTGACCTACTTCTGATCAAGTGTTAATGGTTGCGCTCTTTGGCATAACGAAGCCTTTCTTTTATGATGTTTCCCAGTGGAACATTTCCTAATGTCAGATAACATGACAAGAAACCGACGAGCTAACATTAGCTTCAGTGAAACTAACGGGAGATAATTACAACTGACGTCAAACTAAAGTGGGCTGAGGTGAGCACAGCCGCAGCTCAGGTGTGTGTTTTCCCAACTGCGAACACTGGACATAACCGACTCACCCGGGAAACAGCCAGAGGTTGCTCGAAGTCCTTTCCACCGACAAGCCTAAAACCCCAAGGTCCTCCACCCTGCATCACCACCTTCACTGGAGACATGCTGCCGATAAATACAGTGTTGAATTCCTCTGCACTCTTCCTTGTGGCTGAATGTGAACGCGTGTTCACAGCTGCTGTCTCACACCCACAGCTACACAACAGCAGTTCCGCAAGTTTGGACCAGGAAAGAGGAGGACGTCAGATTACTGTTGGACGAGGAGGTCTAAGAAGTTTCCTCACTGATAACACGAGAGAGAGAGACAGAGAGGGAGAGGGAGAGAGGGAGAGGCAGAGAGTGACGAAAGCAAAGATCGTGTTAGTACAGATGTATCACTCCACAACATGTACTCAGAACACACTGCTGGTCACGCGGTCATCAAGGAAGTATTTTGAATTTAACAATTTGTTAAAGAAAAGGGCATTTAAAATGAATTAAAACGCCACATGATAGTTTTACCAGATGTTTTAAATATATTGCGCCATTAAGCAATTACAAGCTTTACTTTAAATGCGTTACCTGCAATCCAACACTGTTCAGTCTCCTGAGTATCACCTTTGCTCACCTAAGGACCCCCATGAAAGCTGAGGTATGGCCAACCAATTGCCTGACTGAACACCATAGCCTAGTGTTTCCCAAACTTTTTTTCTTCTGGGGACCCTCCAAACCTCTAAAGGTGTCATTATTATGAAATGATCCTTTGTCTTTAATCATTTAATATGGTTAGATTAACTTGTCCTTCACCTAAAATAGGTTGGTTCAACCCATACATCAAACATTATAGGATGGCTCTCACTTTAAGAAATGCAGCCAAACACGTGATTAAGCAAACAAGTTGATAAAGGTTCATCACAAATTAAAAATGGTTAGTCTTCTATGTGAAACCATATATCTCACACTGTATACCAAAATTAATTTAATCACAGCAAAAGCTCCAGTAAAATGTAGCAATTGACTCTGTGGAAAAAATTTCCCAGTTTGAGTTAATATTTCTAAATGAAGCTATTACTCACTAAAATAGGTCTGTTTAATACTACACATCAAATCAGCGAATCATGATTTTCTTCAATCTACATAACTAGATCAGGTTTCTGTGAGCCACTTCTAACACATTTATTTATTTATTGTATTATATTTAAGTCTATTCTCCATATGTCTGAATTTACAAAGGTGTTGCTCTTGAATGTTTTAAACAGCTTTTTTTATACACCATAAAAACTTAAGGTATCCTCTAAAATCTCTATTCTCTACATAAAGGGTTATGTCATAAAATGTAAGTTTCTTGTAATATAACACTTTTTATGTAACGTCATTTGAACAGAGAGCAGAGTGATGCCTCTTTGTTTTTGCCTCCTCTCGGTGAACTCCACTGTTTGTTTTAGGGATGTGGGCCTGCCTGTACGTCATTGTATTATATGCAAGCTTACCATTTATGGTAGAGCTAAATCCCAGGAATGTGCCTCTCCCAGACCTTGAATTCCTGCCAAAGGATCTATGCTCAAAGTAGAGAGAAATAGCTCCTGGCAGCAGGCAGCCAGACGGAACCAGACACGTTCTTTCTTGTGGAGTTTACATGTTCTCACAACAGGCCCTCACACATACCAGTGAGGTCCCTCAGAAGGTGTCTTTAAAGTGAGGCCTTTATGATACGTGAGATCTGTTCAAAAGAAAAGGAATATTTGGTAGTGACTGCCAAATCTGTAACAGCAGACTTTTCAACATCAATTGTGACTGTTTTTTGTCTTTTTTTTAAAAGAAAAATAAAATAGAATAGATAATTAATGACAAGTGGTAATTAGTGAAAACCCAAGTGGAGGGCAAATCCTCACATGCTGGTTGGTACAGTGATAAAAACTCTCACACAGTTCTTTCTTAAAATGAAAACAGATAAGACGACCGAAGTTCTAACTGGTTTATTAAATATTGCATAATACCAAAGTCACAGCAGTGTATAGGATCTTTATTTTAATCATGTCAATAAAACAGCACTGCAAATTGAAGCAAACAAACCAAACCTGTTACAGGTTGTGTGTCTCTAGACCATTGTCATGATTATTCAAACATCAGCTGAAGCATGTTGCGTCACTCTTACATAGTAACAGACAAAAGTTCTTCAAATGTGCTCCTGTCACACAGACAAGGACTTATGGTAAAACCATGGTTACATTAAATATGTCATGGATACACTTCAGTGTCCACGCCCCTCCCCATTCACCTTCCCCACTTTCCATGTCCCTCCTCAAAAAACAAAAAAGGTTGAAAATGAGGCACAATTCTTTCATTTAACATAAGGCATCATCATCATCTTCATCCACACAAATGGCAGCGTAATGTTCATATGAGTCAAACTTCCTGTGCTCATTAATGCTCCACTCTGTGAAAAAAATCCTTCAGGTAAATAAACCACTGCAAGTAGTTGGGAGCTCAGTCTAACGCTCAGACCGCTCGCAGTTTTCTTTGTTTTTTATCTTACATATTTACAATCCTTCTTGTGCCGTGCTGCGATTCTTCACTGTATAAACCCAGACTTGATTTTAATTTCAACAGCTCATGTGTTCACAGTCAGCGCCACCTTCATTTGACCTTACATTCATACACTCTAGGGTGTTTTATGGAGCACAGTCTGTGAACAGTAGTGATGAGAGCATGGAACGATTGCTTTCTTTGTGACGGAAGAATTTGTAATAAATATGTAGAATAACTGTAGAATGTGGTTCAACAATAGAGCCGTGAAGAGTGGAGGGTGACAGAATAAGAAACGAAGAACCCTTAGTGGTGAAAGGAAATCTCTCCAGACGCACGAAAACAAACTTTCATCCCTGTGTATTTTGTTTTAATTTTGCTGAAACAATGTGCCAGTGCAGATGTTGAATCCACTCAACTAAAAGAAAACATACCATGGTGCTAAAGTGTAACCCTGGAAGTAGAGTGGAGCTCTCCATGGGAGAAAACGTCTACCACTGACTCAATTCATAATGTCAGTGAAGATTCTCCAGAGTCTATCATTTCATTCACTTGTCTGAGGCCTTCTTCAATGAATCATGATGTTGATTCTATAAATTAAAACCACTTTAGGAGAAAATGATATTAAAATACAAAAAACCTCATGTGCAGTTTTAGGAAAAAAACTGAACATTTCCAGACAAACTAATCATTTAAACGCGTTGAGAACACTGTGAGTAAGAGAGTTTAATTAGCATGTTTCCCCTCATTAAATTAGTGAGGTAATTTAAGGTAGTATTAGGCAGAGAACACAGGAGCTATAAGAACACAGCGTGAGTCTCTCCCTCCCCTCACTGCATAGGGAACTGCATGGAACTACACTTTCAAGTTTTACTTCACAATCGTATCTTTATTACCGCATGTCAATACAGAATAGTAAAATTCAGTAAAATAATTTGTAAAATGTGACGTCATGTTCTTTTGAAGAAGGCACAGAACTTCGTCGATTGAGACGATAACATTTTTGAAAATGTTTACTGACATAGATCTACTGACTTAGACCTGGTCCAAGTTGACTTCTGTTGGTTGACTTTTTCAAATGCGTGAGTTGAGTTTAGTAACTGATGATATTATATATATATATATATATATATATATATATATATATATATATATATTATATCTCAGCAGCAGAGCCACAGACACAGGGTTAAGTCCCTGTCTACTGTATGTCACCACGTTTAACATGTTAGAGATTGATTTTACTCTTTGTACATTCAACTGCAAAACAAGTTTGCAATCATCATTGTTTGGGTTTGGTGACAGATTTTGTAACTATGTTTGAGAACATCACTCAAAGTCTGGCACTGTTTGACTGGAAATGTGTGTGGACTGTGACTTGACTTTTTCAGCTGATCACACTGGCATCAACTCGACTCATCTGATAACACTTCTCTGCAGCAGCAGCTACATCCTGCCGCTGCCTTGTGACCAGGCGACTACAATCACTACGACCCACTCTCTGATCACTGCATGACCCCTGTGGTTTGGACTGATTTTCACACTGCATCATTGGTGAATTAAAATAGGAAATGAAATACCTGTGCATGCAGAAGACGTACTAACATACAGAGGTGAAAAAGTTACAACTCAAAGAGCAGCGTGTTTACGTCTGACCGTCTTCTCTTTTCTACAAGCTGAATGCAAAGGCAGAGCTGTAAGCTGATAGCGTCTCATGCTCCAATACGGATTTGTCATCACTTGGTGCAGGGCATGCTGACCTAACGCTGACTCTACAAATCATTCATCATCACCGCTAACCATATTAAGTCATGACGTATGAAAATATGTAGCCATGTCTGAAAGGCCTCTTTGAGTTTCTCTGTACACATTTACATGGCTAAAACATACACTCTCATCAGTGAGGACAAGGTTAATAGATCCCAACAATACACCCACAAATCAGTATGATTATTTTAAATACACCTTGTTGGCTTTTATTTTAAAGCATTAAAAGCTTTTCGACCTCTTGCTGTTATTTCAGCAGATAGCATCACTCTTCATGTGAAACCAACAGGAAGTTAAGTGCTACCACGCCTGTTCTGTGGTTGAGTCGGAGCCAGCTGTCCGTCAGCAGCTACCTTTCAAACGTCAGCAAACGCAGTTCACTTTCACTTGTACAGAAAAGTTTAAAAAAGGAGAATTAAATGGCCATTCATTGGATAAATACAGACACAGTTATACACCACTGACAGACCATTATGACGCCACCCACAGGTTGAGTGTTTGTGTTTGACTGAGAGAAAAAGTGAAGTAATATTCTGAACAAAACAAGCCACATATTTACATAACGGTGGTGAAGCCATTTTTACAAGGGAACCAAAGCTACGACATACTGTATCAGATGATTATCTAAAATTGTCTTCTTTAAAGGGACAGGCAAACCAGGATGTCTACAACCTATGGCTCCTCCTATAGCCTCTGCATTCTGAAAGGTAGCTGATGAAAAACAGTTCCAACTCCACATTTCACAAAAATACATTTTCTCTTCTAAAAAAAAGTCCAGTTCAGATAAAAAGCTCTTCTCTCTGCTCTGCTGCCGGCCTCTAAACTGAGGTGCTACTGTATGTAAACACGTAGTGAATTTTAGAATAAGAAGGACAAGAAAGTATGCATCTGTGCACTAAAAGCTAGTGTTTTGTTTTCCACAGAGGATTTCCATACATAGATTTGAATGTGTGTAAAATATGTGACAACAAATTCTGAGGTTTGGGCAGTGTGCTGTCTCTGTCTTCACCTCCTACAGTTGGACATACCTCAGGTCGAGACCCATCTGACAGTACTGACTTGGTTGGCTAAAAAAGACTATGCTAACCCACAGCCATGCGTGATAGTAATGACTTCCTAAGATCGACAGGCAGCCGTGTGTGACTGTCAGATTGGAGATCTTTACAGTTTCACCTCCTTCACGTAATTCCCAGGGAAAGTCCCAAACTGTTTAGTCCTCTTTGACGTACCTGGAGAAAGAGAAAATGAGAACATAGGTGTTTAGAAAGTTGAATGTGAAACAAAATCTTAAATGTTAGTTTAAAATGACCTTGATAATTGTAGAAATTAAGACTTAAATATAGAGTGAAATGCAAAGCTTGTTTTGAGATTGAAAGAGGCTGAAGCTCGGAAAACAGCCATCAATAACAGATAAGAACCATCAGTTAAACACCCGAGTACTTGACAACCATTGGCTGCATTTCAAGACTTAAAAAAATTGGATGGACATTGTTGAAATCATGTATAACAGGACTGATGATCAGACTCTAAACTAACTGCAACTGCCACAGAACAAGTTATGGAACAATGTTAGTGCCAAGTCGAGTAGCAACTGATTTGGGGAATTTTCTTTGGTAAAAAAAGTGATTTCAAGTGAAAACGACCTGAAAACATATAATAAATAATTCAGTAAAGTACTTTAAAACATTGTTGGTTATTATATATCTTAGTGTTTGACAATTGAAAAGGTCTGTTCAGATTACGTCACTTTTTTTTTGTTTTAAACCTAAACATCGTGAGTGGGTCGAGACTTTTGCAGATTACTGTAATTATATATGGAACACGGTAAAAGTGCTTCACATGCTCTCACTCATCTGCTGTCATTCCTAAAGACACTCTATATGTGACAGAGTGAAGATGACTCTACTTCTCCAGGAGCACATTGCACGCGTACAGCAGTTTGCTGCCTCTCTGCAGAAACTCTATGTGGATTGATGTGACAGTGGGTGTGTGTGACTGCACGACTGAAGAATCTGTCCCGAGGCACATACCAACAAACCAGCCGTCATCGCATTTCTCCATGACACTGACGAGATCTCCCTCCCGCAGCTCCAGCTCATCGTCGTTCTGTGGCACATAACTGTACAAAGCCTGGAAACTGGAGCAGGGCATGAAGATAAACTGGTCAACATGCAGAACCTCTAAAAACAAAACCTACCCAAAAAAATAAGGTCTTACTCACATTCCACAACTGACACGACCTGGCTCTGGGCTGCTGCTGTGGGACTGGGGTTGCTGGGAAATGATGAGAGATTGTTTACTGGGGTGGGGGTGCAGTCTGTGGATAGAGTCACGAGGGTAGGGGGACAGGGTGCTGCAGTACCTCACCGAGGTCTCAGCTATATTCAAAATCTCATTACACACTGCCTCCTAGTAGTGGTGAAGGTGTCAGAGAAGTTCAGGTCCCACAACAGGCCACGGTGAAGTTAGGCAAGAAGGTGAGGAGTTAGAGGATGGACGAAGGGTAAGACAAGGAGGGTCATCCAGTGAATAATAAGTAGGAAAAGGAGGTGTTCCGTTAAAAGCCAGGAAGAATTAGCAAAGAGGAGAAGATGGTAGAGGCCGGGAGGAGCCACAAAAAAACCAGCAAAACAGCAGAGTGAGAGCATGTAGACAGGAAAAATGATGAAAAGATTAGTGAACTTATATCAAAGAAAGATTAATTACACATATGCAGTTTTCAAGATAAAAGGTGTAGTCTGACATTCTGGGCAATAATGTTATTTTATTCCTTGTGTGACGTTGGAGGAGAAAATCAATGTCACTCTTATTTCTAGTGGGATCAAATGTAGCTGGAGCCAGCAGCCTGTCTGAGAGGAGCATGATGAGTGGGAGGGAAAGCACAGCCCTGAGGTGATGAAGGCAAGTTTTGCCAACTTAATGACCTCACTAGTTTTATGAGAACCCTCGGCGGAAAAAAAAAAAAAAAAACCTCCTCTCCCTAGCGATGAGTCATTAGTATTTCTCTACAGATGTGATCTCATGTGGCCAGGCTCCCTGGACTCATAGTTAAGGACAAGGCCATGCAAAAATCAATAAAACACAGAATGTTTAGAATTCCCTTTATAATTGGCCCAAGGTGGGTGTAAGTCTGGTATGTTCGTTTTTAGAATTTCTTATTTATACACCTTAAGTAGTTTGATTTATTTTTTACACTGCTCTTCCTACTTTGTCTGGACTTTGTTTTTTTCTCAAATTTGCATTAGCGCAGTTCATCCTCTTCCACAAAAAGTGGTAGAGTTGGATTCAGACGAGATGATGCCAGTGTAAAAATAACAGGCGTTGACTTGTTTATGTTTGAAATGACATCACAGACATACAAGTACACGCAGGAACTAATTGTATTTGCCCAAAATGTCACTGACTATTCAGACTCAATGTAAGAAATGTCCTGGTATTTACCGTGACGTGTCATTACACAGGCCACAGCAGGAGTTATAGATGATGTGAGTTTGAATTGTTGAGGTTAATGTTATAAAGTAGATAAAGAGATAATAACATCATGTCATAAATATTCTATAAAACATCCAACAACACTTAGTTTTCAATGCCTTACCGCAAATGAGTTGACATTGTTATTATCCTGGAGGTCGTACAACATCACTGGGCTCCTGGAGCTGCGTCCATGATGGTCAGCTTCATTTTTTACAAACTGCAACACAAAAGACCTCAGATAAGTGTGAGCTTAAGACAAAACAATTCTTTCTGGGGACTGGACCCCGTATCCAGCGGCTGTGAATGGCCGTCATAGTTCAGAGACAGACTGTGACTTCTTGTGGTCGGAATGTTAATCTTTAATGCATCTTTGAAACACAAGCCAACACGTGAAAGCTAAAAATGTTACTGTCCAGAACGAACTGTCAGCGGTGGCATCTGTGTTATGACACCTCCACATAGGATAACAACAACAACATGCAGCCATATGCTGAACTCCGTGAGGACAAAGGAACTCGGGCTCACTAGTAAACTTTGGAGACAGCAGAGTTCCACTTATAGCATTTTACAGTGAGGACATCTGACACTGGACAATATAAACACGGACACACTGTAAATAGTTGGAGTGTTAGTGAATGACACACTGCGACATGCACACCTGCGGCCTACAGCAGTGTGACTAGGTTTATCTTGTGACTTTTCTAAACCAGCGACAGGCCTTAAAAACTCTTCCTGCTTGTTAGTCCTTCTTTTAGTGATTCATTAAATTCTGGGAATCAAACCGAGGCCCAAACCACATGACTTGAAGTGAGCCTGAAATGTAACACTGCACACCATGCAGTAGATACCTCTGCAGGACTATTCTGCCTGCTGCCCAGGGCTCTGCGGCCCCTGTTTCTCTCTGTGCTGTCCCCCTCTGCCACCTCCTTCTCCCCCTTCAGCCAACCCTCCAGCACTGGCCCGCTGCAGGGACTCATGCTGCGTGACAGGTGTGGGGAGGAAGGAAAGAGCAGGAAGTTGTCCCCCTGAGGCGGGGTGAAGGTGAGGAAAGGTGTGGTTGAGTTGGGCCGGGGTGGGTAAGGTGGGGGAAGTGGTGAGGCTGAAGGGGAGGCCGAAGGGGAAACGCAATAAGGACTGCCAGTTATGGGAGGCACGGGGCTGACAGAGAATGGTGGCGGCAGGTACTCGCCGCAGCGGTAGGACACAGTGGGCAGGGGTGGCAGTGGAGGGGTGGGGGCAGCTGGAGGGCTCCCTCCTCCCACAGTCAGGGAGATCCATTCAGAGGAGATAGCATGGACCTCGGGGGACACAGAGCGGCGAGGGGACCGAGGGAGGGGAAGAGGAGAGGTGGTCAGGCGATTACGATTCAGCTTTTCAGAGTAACAGGAGGAAGGTAGACGGAGGCCAAGGAAGGAAAAATGAAAAAGAGAGAAAATGAGAGGAAACAAATGTAAAGCAAACAAACAAAAATACAAAAATATCTGGATTTTCCTGAACAATACTAGACCTTAGGATGATGTAAAGTAATAGACATAGTAGGTCACAGTACTATAATGTATTGAATGACTTCTGGTGTAAAATCCCAAAGACACAGTGAATGTAGGAGGGTCAGGATCGGTCGAGGAGCAGCGTTTTAGAAAACACATTAATAATGATTTGGCTCCGAGTCCTCACCTGAGGAGATGCGTTGGTGCTGCGCTGTGGTGAGTGGCTGACAGGAGGGTCACTGTATTCTGTGGCGTTCTTGACACGGGGTTTTCTATGTACGTCTACATAGGTGACGGGAAAGATGCCCTGGCGGTTGGTGCCTGAGATTTTTCCTTCATACCAGTTTTCGTCCACTCTGCGAATAAGCGTAATCCTCTCTCCCTGTGTTCAGATCACAAAGACAATAACTGCAGCCTGAAGCTGCTGTGTGCGGTGCACATTTTTACTTCAACTCTGATTCTCATGACTCACTTTTTTGAAAGACATTTCTACCACTGTGTCTCCATTGAAATTGAAGCGAGCAACAGCTTCTCCATATTCCAGGACTTGAACGGGGGCACATTTCTTTGGCTGGGCTTTTTCCGTGGGGGGAAGCAGCTGCACAAGAAGACAACAACACTGAATAAACAAAGACGGAGGAAACCAATCTATGAAACAAGTCCAGGAGTGTTGTGCTGCAAATATCTATTTAACGATGAGAGTGATTTTCTCTTCTTTAAGTCTATCCTTAATTCCATGTTGCATTTCTTTAATGCAACACGACAGCAATTTTGTAAATTTCTATGAAAATTACTAAGAAAAAAGAAAGTGGTAGTGCACCTTGAAACCATACTAAAGGATCCTGTTTGCAGGCGTGTGCGTCTATGAACACTGATGACTCAACTAATAATCACATGCGGTGATTATAATGTTTCATGTTTTTCCTTCTATTTAATGAGTTACTTCTAAAACCATCAGAGTGAGAAATAAAATCACAAATGTCTAACAACTTTCCTCTACTCATTATTACAGTGATTACTCACTCGTGGCCTGCGGGTCGAATCTGACCTACCAGACCGTACAATCCAGCCAACGTCTGGGTTACAAAATAAACATTAAATATTAATGTTGGACCAACATTTGATTTTTATTTCATTCTGGCTCCCATGGTGTCTGTCCAGAAAAAAATTGTCCCTCCGAAAAATAGTTAGTGATCACTGCATTATTTATTTATCTTCTATATAAAAAAAAGAGAATTATTAGTGTGTAGTAATGTTTTTATTAAAGTCAATATACTGACACTCACCTCAACATAACTTCGGGGGAAAATACCAACTCTCCCATGATGCTCTCCTTCATACCAGTTTTGATCCACCTGTCGAATGATGTAAACAATGTCCCCCTTTTGAAACGGTAATTCTCTGGAAAGACATGAGATTCTCATTTAAAGTTGAATATTTGTAAGTTAAGTATGAAGTATGAAAACTAGTGTCACTACATTCATTTGTTTTGAGAGAAAAGTTCACATTCTGGTAGAAGTCACTGTAAATCTTTCACTGTTGCTCTACAATTCCAAACAGTCATTTCCTTTGATTGTGTGGCTGTAAGATAGTCTGGCACCATTTCATTAGCAACCACACCTACAGCTTAAAAAGACAGGAGTTGTTTTACTGACATCTACCTACTGGTATGTAGAAAAAAAACCAGGGTAAAATCAGTGGATGTTTTGACTCTTCTCACTTACTTTAGACTTTCTGCTCTGAAGTCAAACCGAGCCATGGCGGGAGTTCTCTGCGAAGAAGAAATAGAAATCACTCATAATATAATATAGTGACATTAATAGTATTCTTAGAGGAGACCCATGGTTGGGTCAGCAGACAGCCCCAACAATCCAGAATTTAGATAAGACCTGCCCTGGTTGAAAATGTATTTCTAGCAGATTAGCAGTATGAAAGTAAAGTCATATAACTGTGATAAACACAGTGACTCATGATATATTCTCCCTCTACCCTCTGAATGTTTTGACACGGGGGTTAGGAAACCATCTGTGTCCACAAGAATCCTGCTGACAAGCCCTTCACCTCCCCTCCAGCCTGAGTCACAAACAAACTGACGGAGCATCTGTCGTCTCTGTTCTGCTAACGAAGGCCCCAGATACAGTGCAGCTCAGTACCTCTACACCGGATTTCCTCTTCTCTGTGTTATCTGTGATGTTGAGCAGGTCACCGAAACGCTCGTTGGTGATAAACTGATGGTGCGTGGGGACAATGCCTGTGTGTCTTCTGGACGCTGTGTCAGCTTCTTCCTGTTCCCTTTTCAGACGCCGCTGCTCCTCCAAGATTTTCTATAAAGAAGAAAACCAAAATGCAATAGTTTATAGTATATAGTTAATAGTGCCAGTCAGTTAATATTAGAAACTGTAATTATACATTTCTATAGGGTATATTCCTATAGGCTTATGTAAGGATATTAATTTGTCCCTAAATGTAAGGTTTCTGTCATGAAGTGTGTGCAGATGTGCACTAGCATCGAAGTTTTCTTTCATTATTGATAAAAGTACTGTACCTCTTTGTCACCATGTCGTCTCCGCAGCACTTCTTCCTGGTTTTCCCCATGAGCTGGGGATGAGTCTGAAACAGAAACAAGGGGAAGTCATTATGGGATGCACTTTCTTTGCCAGCCCAAGGTCTTACCACGTCTCACAACAATCATATTTCAATAATAAAATGAAGATTTTAGATTAGACTTGTCATCCTTGTTTCGGATAAATATAAAATAAAATACAGTTACAATGAAACAACAACGCATGCTTTAAAGGAAACACAACAATTCCTGCAAAAACAAAACCGAAGACACACAAGCACACTTCAACAAAGCGGAACATATCCTGCATGCACATAGGAACGAACACAGAATGAATAAATGTGTGTTCATGAGAAAAAAAAAGCAGGAAGGAAAGCCCAAAAACTACTGCTGTATATTGGTGACTATAATGACATCATGCTTTCACTACTAATTTAACCAGCATCCATTAATGTTCACCCATTAACTGTGTTTATCTTCTACACTAGTCATATAAGTATTAAGGTTTAATCTCTGCCTCTTGTGCTCTTAGAACTGACCGACTTAAAGAAAGAGAAATAATAAAAAAAAAATCCTAGAATTTACAACAGGTAAAATTATTTATAACATGGAGAAATAAAAAAAAATAAATCCTAGAATCTACAACAGGTAAAATTATTTATAACATGCTGATTTCCCACTAACTGTACATTTATATCATATTAGAAAATGTAAAACATAATTTATCTCTGTAGTCATGAGAGTATGTAACCATTCTTGTGTACCCAATGCTCAGGCAAACTTCAGCACGTTTGCACACAACTCAAAGATGATGTCACAGGATGATACATACACAGTACTTTACCAAACACTGCCTGTATTTCCTACACTGTTGGCATGCTTCTTGGGACCATACTGCTGGACAGTGAAATGGAGGAGCACCATAGAACACACTGAGAATGAGACGCAGGCTTCTCTGTCACTTTGTAAACACACCACACAGACAGATGGAGGGTGGCGGCATCACTTTGTGTAGTAAAGGGACACAAGGTGAAGAAAGAGTCGAGATCAATGAGTGAAAGAGAGGGTGACAGTGGTGAGGGGATGAGCATAGCCACCTCTGAGGTAAAGTGCCAACGGCTGCAGGAGGTTCCCGTTGGCGTCCAAGCTCTGCCCATTACTGAGGTGGTCACCGCTGCCTTCGTCCCCGTTACTCAGCCTCCCCAGGACCTCCAAAGAAGACAGACGCTGAGGGATCAGAGGCCTGGGCTCAGGGGACACATTGTTGGGCTGATGGGGAACTGCTGTCACTCTGGTGGCTAATGGAGTTCTCTTTGTCTGTGTGTTCTTCCTTGGTCTGAAGGGGGCAGGGCCCATGAGGAAGAGGTTTCCAGGAAGAGTGGTTCTCTTCTCTGGAGTTGAAGGCCTCTCCTGCTGTATCGAAGCCTGCTGCCTCTCATGCCTGAGGATGGTGGTGAAGCGGGTGTAGGAGGCTGGACAGGAGCCTTTGCATTTGCTGGGCTTGAGGAGAAGCTGATGATTCAGGTGGTGGTGCAGGTGGTGGTGCAGGTGGTGGTGGTTGTGAAAGTGATTTTGTTGTGGAGGGGGCACAGCATGTAGTTGAACAGGACTCTTTGATGCACTGACACGTTGATTCAGGGGTTCAGAGGAGCTTTTACTTAAGATCTCCTCGACCTCAGTGTTAGAGGGGGACTCTGTCCTGATGTTGTGTCCATTTTCTAAAGAGGACACAACCTCCTCTTCTCTTAAACTGTTGACAGACAAAGTCTCCTCCTCCTCACAGATCTTGTCATCTGCCACCACTGGGAAAGAGGTATTTGTCTGGTTGGTGTCAGCTACCAGGAGGGACTCGGCTGACACTGCAGACGTCATAAAGTTGTGGGACGGGCTATGGTTGTGACTTGAGTTAAGGGTAGGCAGAGAAGAGGACCTGCTGGGAGCTGGGGTAGAACGCTGTATGATCACTTCAAACTCGCTGACCCGTGATGACACAGTATCCCGTGGAATGTAACCACCGTCATCTGCCTCTGACCTCTCACCCCCAGCCACCTTTGACTTCTCAAACAGAGAGGCCAGGCTTCGGACGCTGCCGTGAGGGCTGCAGCCAACTGAACTGGGCCGCTGGATGTGATGCATGTTCCGGTAGAGGCTGGAAAACTCCGATGCGCTCCTTTTAAGTGTGGGAGAAGCATTCCTGATGCTGTCAAAACACTCACTGCCAAAACTGTGCTTGGAGTCAGAACACTGACCACCATCCTTATCATCCACTGCGGCAAAGTCCTTGTCACATGGCCCTGTGTACAGATCTTCACAGCTGTGGGCCTTAGGGTGTTTGACAGTTCTAGTCCTGCTCTCCTCACTGTCACCACTGGGTGGCAGCAGCTTGGGCTTGAACTTAGAAGGGAGAATTTGAGGTATGCAGGCCTTGGCAGCAGAGAGAGGCTTCTTATTCGTACACTGGTTACCTATTGCATTACTGGCAAGAACTGTTCGACTATTTACAGAGGAGCAAGGGGAAATTATATAGCCATTCCCACCTTTATAATCCACTGGCAAGCATGCAGGACAACAGAATAAACAACATATTAGATTACAATGGTCACAGCTTCAAACACACACATACAAAACAGACTCAGGGACATTTCTAAAGTAAACAGATTCCATCAAGAGGAAGCAGACTTGATGCACTAAGCATCAAGTAACAATGGAACAAGGGGAATTGTACAGACAGATGCCTGCATTGTAAGTAAATGGCAACATAATGAATGAAATTAAAGTTGTAAAACAGCTTAATGCCATGGAATGTGATGTGATGCTTGGCTTTCTTTGGGATTTCTTTTCCCTGCTGCCTGCAATAATGTCAAACCAGAGGGAAAGAAAATGCAGCTAATCAAAAGTAGTTGTATTTAGTTTCATTTTCTTGTCAAATATATGTTTCTGCAAGATGGCTGCAAAAAAGAAAATGCCGTGATAAACTGTAAAAATCTCTGCTCTTCAATCCCACAGAGTTTTAAATAAATAAATAAAGTGTCCTGACTCCAACTGACCAGTGAAATCGTTGGGAAATTCAGATCCTGGCTTCAGTCAAGTCCTGGCTACAGCATGCTTGTGACAGTGTTGCAGATGGAACCAGGAAATGACTTTCACATGCTGTGTAACACTTGCGTAGCATGAATGAGCCATCTGTCACATTCAGATCTGCCAGGAAAACACACGCTGAGGAGGTGAACCAGATTTTTTTTCCCACATTGTAGCCTTTTAAGGCTAATAAAAGCCTAGAAAGGAGAATTGGCTCTCTAAAGATTTAAACCATTTCCCTTAGTTACTTAAGAGAAAAATACAAGACGAAGTGTAAAGGTTTCCAGCACTTGGTCCTTTGTGTGCGCCTTTCGACAGATAAGTCTTGTGTAACCGTAAAACTCTAATAAATGAGGAGCAGCCCATGGCAAGAGGCCTCCAAAGGAGCATGACAGTCAGTTGTGTAAGCCGCCTAATCCATTTAATACATTTGTCTACATTTTCAACTGATTAAAATGAGCGTTAGTATATTTAATTTTATATTTATATATATTTATAGTTATTTATACATTATCATAATACTGGATATGCTAAATATGCCGGGTAAGTCGGTCTGAGAGACACAACCATATATATATATATTGTCATATTTCACAAATAAAACAAATGTCAGGAGAATGTAAGGGGAAATATACATTCATGGAGGTTTGGAAGCTCCATTTCTAGGCTAACCTAGCCTAGTTTCTCAGACTAGGCTAAAATGAATGGGGGACATACTAAGTAGAAATAGATAGTAAAATACAGTACATAGCAAATTATTAGTGTGTAGTAATATTTTTTCTTAAAGTTAACTTAAAAAAAACATGTTAATGTGTTATCAAAAATCACGGATAGTTTAATTCTGTGGGTGAAAACAGGAACATCTTAAAACTTGTAAACCATTGTATACAAATTAAACTAACTAATTACAGATTCTCAGGTGACATTTACCTTGTTTGTCCAGATGTAATGCATTAATAACATGCATTGACTCACACTCTCCTCCAGCAAATCACGGATAGTTTAATTCTGTGGGTGAAAACAGGAACATCTTAAAACTTGTAAACCATTGTATACAAATTAAACTAACTAATTACAGATTCTCAGGTGACATTTACCTTGTTTGTCCAGATGTAATGCATTAATAACATGCATTGACTCACACTCTCCTCCAGAATTTCTCTCCCTGACATTACTGCAGGCATTCCAGCCTTGACCCCACACTGACAGCTGACTTCCTCATGCCAGCCCACCCTCTCTGTCCCTCCTATTTATCTCACCCCTGAGTGTGTGGGCTGTGAAGAGCAGAGCATGAGTTTTTATCTCGCCTGTCTCTTCTCATCCCTCCCTGTCCCGGCCCTCCACTCGCGGGTGCTGAAACGCTCTGGAGACCTGCCCTAAGCCTGCCTAGAGACTGGCGGCTCACAACTGGAGCAAGAGGGGGGAAAAAACCCCAAGGTTAGCTTCCATCGACTTAGCAAGACAAGCTCCCTCCCTCCATGAGTTTTCCAAAGCAGATGGCCAGCACACGTTTGATCAAAACATCCATGGCATCAATAATAAATCAAAGGGTGTAGCAGGGATGAAGGTTGCAAGGTGATTGGTCAGTACTGTGAGGTCTGGGTTAAAAAAAAAGGTTGCATTGTTATACTAAATGTAAAAAGAAAACACATTAGCCCCTGTCTGACACCTAGTCTATAATCCACTTCTTATGTCACAGCAGGACAGGTTTTTAATGCCTCAGTGTACTTTAAACATCCAAACACACAAACACATACAGTACACACACCTGTTATGGGAGCCACATATTTATAGGGTCAACTATCCTACCTTTAGAAGAGGAAGAAGAACTGCCATGGCGCTTGTTTAGGGCCCTTAGACCTTGTAAGGGAATGTCGCCGCCCTCTAGGACACTCTTGTAAACATGACGGTCGCATTCTGGAGCCGTGGGCTCACTCGTGGATGATCCCTGGTCCGTCTCCACCTCGTTGTGTCCAGACTTGCTTGAGGAGCTAGACGGTGGTAAAAGAAACACGGACAGCTAATTAAACACAGTTGAATTAATTTGGCCGCGTCGTGTTACATTTTTACGATAAACAGAGGCATATATTTAAAATTGGGTAATGGGCTGTCATGTGGTTCTAATTTGAAATATCTCCAGGTAATTCCTGTCTACACAGACCACAGGGAGACAAAATAGTCAGGGGAAAAAAACAAACTTGTAAAAGATGTTGCAGAATTTGAGGGATGATGTTGAAAGAGGCAACTGGCTTTCACACATTTTTTGACATTGCTGTGAGGCCAGTGAGTCTGAATTCTATTAATATTCTCCAAACATTCCCACATGGCACATCGACGCCTGCCATGCACCTGTATAACTCTCATGTGTTATTCACTCTACAGTACAGAGTACAGATAAACATGGTCATTAAACCGACACAGATAGAACAATAAATCCTCTCAAACGTGTTTATCATCTGCAGCGTGGCTAAGTTTGAATTTAATAAGATTTCAGAAACAAACGTAAACATCGACAGACAGAAAAATATGATGTGTGCTGTTTTGTTTTCTTCTATAACAAGAGGAGTTTTCTCTAATTTACATGTAAAATCCACCCCTGACTACAGAGAACCACGATGGAGCTGATTTCACACTGCATTCTCTGTTGATTACAGATCATTAGTTAGAACAAGTAACCCGTTTGTTTGAAGGAATATATTGGACCAGGGCAACTGGTACTGTTTATCAACAATGACTAAACCTGAGTCAATATACGTAAGAGCAAGTGTTACAGGAGCTAGGACACAGAAGTAGTAGCTTAGAAGTAGACAAGTAATAGGTGTCCATTAGTTTAAGCTTAGCTATACAATTAGCTGTCTACGTTAGCCTGACAAATAGATTTTAGACTTTTAGAATATCTCAAACATTGTCCAGAAGCTGATTCAGGATTTCTGGCATCCAACAGATGAAGTCATTTACAAACACAACACAGTCACATATGGTCTTTGCATTTCACAAATAGTGTCAGCCATCTAAACTGTCTCCAATTTCAAACAGACTCAGTAAAAACACATCCTGCTGCTCATTCAGGTTCCTCTGAAGGAAGTCAGTTTATGACCAACTGAGAGGGACATATGGAGGGAGCCATATCCCTACTAAACCCACTACAAATCAGCTGGTCAAAAAAAAGTGCACAAAGAATCTGTTATAAAGCATTTGGCTATGGTGACATGATGAGTCAAACAGATGGGAAGTTCTTAGTAGAGTTATTTTCCTTAGACTGTAGTGTGAAGAGTTTTGGCTCAATTCAAAATTCCTTAAAATGTACTACAGAAATACAGACAAACTGAAATAGAAAATGTTGATGGCATCAGGTGAAAACAAAAGTGAAAGACAGCTTGTTAAGCCTAGGGTCTTTGTCTTAAGTGGAATTATTTATAAAGTGGCTACTGGTCATATTTCTGTACACACACACACACACACACACACACACCCATTCAGAAAGAGATAACGGTTTTTGAGTTATGCAGCAGCTGGGTGACTTCCCTCTATCCCAGTGACATCCAGGTTGCTGTCTTTAAATAAATCACCACATAGCAGCAGTGTGTCTGTACTACAACCACTGACCCCCCTAGAGGCGCCAACACAGGACACACTGTTCTGGTAGCTTTTTGCCTTATTAACAGGATCTCCTCAGGAAGCAGGAGTCCTCCTGCTGTAGGCGGGAGAGCTGTGTAGAGTGGAGACATCTGCTCACTGATGTTTATTCTCACAACAAACCCAAAATTATCATCTACATTCTAAAAGAAAGGAAGCAAAAGTTAAACCAAGTAGACATTTAAGAAGAAGCATGGACTTACTACTGCTGCAGGTTGGAGGTTGAGTCCAGGGGAGTGAAAGAGGGGGTACTCTGCAACAAACCAAACAAAGAAGTCATTGATAAATCCACAGGAAGGTCTCCTCCAGCTAGAACAGAGGCAGGACCATTAGCTTTGGTCAGATTCTCTCTGTTTTTCCTCTGTGTCGATCTCTCGCTGCTCCGGCTCTCTGTCTTCAGTGGCCGAGGGTTCTTAGCTCCTTTGGACTAGGCTTGGCGTGGAAGGAGTAAGCGTGTGTTTTGCCCTGCATGCAGGCTGGAGAAAACAAGCGGCAGTGAGGAGAGTTGGGAGGGAGGGAGGGAGGGAGGGAGCGTGGGTGAGTGGGGTTGTGTGGGCGTGCATTGGTCAGGGGGCGCCCATGAAGGGAGGGGGGCGGT